AAATTCAGAGCATTTTTTTGTATTTACAGATAAGTTATGAAACCAGGCGTATGCCAGCTAGCTTTTTCTATGTTAAAAATTACAAGTACTAGAACATACTTCTTTATGTGCCTGAAAATAAGGGACTTCACATATGATTAATAATATAAATAAATTACTACAATCTGCTGAATGCCTGTCCTAAACTCATCTGAGTCCTGTTCAAGCATATTGGAGTGTGTGCAGGGCTGCAAGGAGGAGAAATCGGAGCAGAGGTAGAAACCTCACAGGCTCGTTAAACAGCATCTATATCAGTATCACAAATTCAGCATTCCAGCTCTTTCTGCACATGTAGCATTTCTGACAAATGGATATGTTAGCAGAGCTATTTTCAGTGACATTTTACTATCCTGTCAGAAAAGTTCGAACACTGTCTCTGCAAGTTTTTTTTGAGGCTATCGTCTCAAAAAAGATCTTGTTCGTTACTGGGAGTTGGAATCAGAGGGTTCCTCTGGGCTACCACAGAAGCTTTTTAGTATGCCGAAAAACTAAACAGAAAGGGACAAACAGGAAAAGGGAAAACCTGAATGAAAGACTAAAAATAGATAAAACCTTAATCTGGTTAGTGACAAATATTCAATATTTGACTATATGCATGACTTGTTTCCTAGGAATTCTACCTTTGCTTATCAATGTGAAGTAATCAAGTTTGGTCATAAAGGTGATGGAAACAAGTCATCTGGGTTAGGGATGATTAAATAAGCTGGAGAAGAGGAAGGATATTCTGGATAGATGGTGTCAAGAGATCTCAATCTGAGAAACGACAGAGAGAGAAAGGACTGCAGAATTTCAGTTCTTACAAGTATTCATATTTTCTCTCAAGTGTATACCAGACATATGCCTTTTCACATTGAAATTTTTCTTTCCACATTTCATTCAATTCACTTAAAACCAGTATAATTTTCCAAAAGGTGTTCAACAACTTTTGAAAATGAAGCCCCTTTATGCTACTTTGAAAGCAGAACCCCTAACTATGTCCACTTTGGAAAATCTTGGCCACTCACCACTAACTTATTGGTAATGGTCACACTAGGCATGCAACAACATCAAGCGTGCCTTAAGCGCTTCTCAGAGGCATACCAACTCCATTTAGGCACTTAGGTCCCCTTTCCAAAGTGTGAAGAAAAACAGGCCCTTAACTTAGCTGACAGAACATACTGGAGAGACCAGTGTGCCTTGGATTCTACTTCTCTTCAGTCTCCATTATATTTATACATGTATGTGTGTGTGCATTTGTGAAATGCATATCTGCACATATAAAATAAAAATTCTTTTCTTCTGATGTTTAAGAGCTCTTATTCCTCTCCAGGTTCACAAAAGCACCCACCTCTGAAAAGAGGGAACCAGAAAATCGCTGGGGTAAAGCCCCTGACTTAAATGGATTCAAATGTATAACTACCTATAGGATTCGGTTACTGCTCCTACTAAGGAGAATGAATGAAGACACTTACCTGAAGAAAAAAACTGTCAATGCAGTAACTACTTCTTCTTTCTTTTCCTGTCTTCAGAACAAGCTTAAATTACTCACACGCCCCAAAGTGGTGTCAGTTCATGACTGCTTACAGCATTCTTGCAATAACAGGTATTTTTTTTTTATTTTACTATTTCACTACCATTACTTGATAGCTTTACATTGCCAGCATGAAATATACACTGAATTCTGTTGAAATGTCTATTTGACATTTGATAACGTCAATTTGACATATGAGTTCTTTATTGTATGCATGCCCACAACGTCATGCAAAGCTACCCTGGGCTATGCCAGGCTATGCCACAAAAGAGAATTTCTATCAGAACAAATGGAACATCTGAAGCAGACTGTGGACAGATACTAAGACAGATCAGTCCTATGATAAAACCTAGGACAGATCAATCTGTCGTGTAAACCCAAACACTCTTCCATGTTAGCTGTCCCAGGAATATGAAAAAAACAATAGAAAATACAAGACTAAATTATCAGCTGTGCTCCTGGGACAGCCCTCAAAAAATCACTCCTACCTTTTAAAATTTCGGAGATCTGCACCAGTTATGTATGAAAAGATAAAACATCATCTGTTCCCTTTGAATTTCCATGTGGTTACAATATAAATAATTGCATTAAAAGAAGTTGAAGAACATCAGAATGCTTTTTTTTTCCTCTGGTTTTCACCCTTCATTCTCTGTTTCAGCAGTACTTTTCATTAATAGTTCCATCAGTAATAACAGTGTCTCTATATTTCACTATGTAAATATGTATTGGAAGACTTTAAAACACAGTTTGATCTAGTCAATAAAAACCTGAAAATACATTACTGCTGAATTTAGAATTGGCAATTTGAAAATCAATACCCCATATATTAAAACCCAAAAATCTATCAAATTATGTCCAAAATAACAAGAACAATTAAAACACAATCCCTTATATTCACTGGTCAAATTTCTTTCTAAATAAATCAAACAGGCTGTCTAAATGGACTTTGTTTTTTTCCTATTCTATCATGCAAATCCACAGCACAATCATCAATTTAAGCTAAAAAGAATACAACCACACTTTTAGTAAAGACCTCAGTATCTGTAAGGATTTACAGTAATAAAATAAGAGGGTAAAGATACAACATTTATAGGCAATCTGGTAAATATTTTATTAGGGTTTTCTTCAAGAATAATTTTTAATTAGGAAATCAAACTTCAATCTGAAAAAGTTACAGCTGTTTTTAGCACATCTAAAATTTCTGTAATAGTGAAACATTCTAGAACACAAAATTTCTAGCATTTTCATCACTGTATGTACTGAAACATTGCTAATTTATTCAGATGCTTCCATGCATAATTACTAGAAAGACAAATCTGTTATTTTGCTAGTCAATCATCAGAAAGGAAAAGCTATCTAGTGAATACTTTGAAAAATATAAATAATTGCAAGTATTAAATTATTAACCATACCATGAGTACACTGTCCAAACCACCGGCTTAATTTTCTTAACAGTTTGCTTTTCCTATTTAGGCTAACATTAGGAATGCAAGGCCTGATTTCAAGCTTTGCCTACGCAACAGATGATTTCTGGTATAGCAAGGTTTTCCAAGGATGTGACAACACGTAAATTGTAACACAGTTGAGAAAGTCAAAGTCCCTTCTAAGGACATACTTATACTGCAAACCCCTACTCTTACTTCTTAAAGGTTTGGTGGGGTTTTTGCCAATGTGGGACAGAAGTGCTGTTAGGTTTATTGTGTTGGTACAAAGCATCACTTTTCTGCTACTGCTGTATTGACTTAAGAAGCTAACAGAGTACACTTACTTCTGTATCACCAAGGGGACCCTCAGCTCCCACGTGGTTTAGGTCCCTTTTCTGTGCGAAATATCAGATAAATGCTACATTCTCCAAGCGTTCTGCTTTCTCTCTTCATTGGTGGGCTTTTATTGTTTGATTTCAAGCCAAGGTCTTTGCAACTAGTAAGCAGAACGTGCGCAAGAGAAAAAGGAGCATTAAGTTATGGGCTTGATCTGGTCATTATTAAATCAGCAGGCATTGAATTAAATTAAATCTTCTATTATATTCAACAAGAAACTCACTTTGGAAACACCTGCATTACAAATATTGTAAGATGGGATGCAGCTTGTTAGCAAAATCTATTTATAGCAACAGGAAGAAATTAGAGCCGTATCTATAAAAATGACCAGAACATAACGGACAGAATCAACCAGCAATTGTTCCTATTCATAGCATTGTGATTTTCAGCGCTGACCCATTACGAAGAGAAACCTGTTTCCTTTACAAGATTCTCCCTTCCACCTTCTCTCATAGAATATAAATGTAATTTTGAAGCTTGAAACCAAAATGTTTTTCTTACCAAATGCTATTTTCCTTCATCTTATGCTGAGAATGAATGGTTCTTCTTGAACATTCAGCTGCTAAAGAGAAAAAAAAGTGCATATCAAATTTTCATTCTGTCCACTTTGACAAAGGCTCTTTTTTCCACATTAAGATTTGAAGGGAAATGAAGATTCTAAACCTGAAAATATAGGTGCAGTCAGACTGATTTCTCTACCTGTGATAATCACAATATTCTTTTTAATGGATTTCCTGAGAAAAAGAGGCAAAAAAGAAATTATGCAGATGCATAAAGACCAGAGTATACCACAGGGAAAATGCTGGTAGAATAATGAGGACTGGGATCCTAGTGCAGTCATATTTTGAATAATTTGCTATGCTTGTTTTCAGTGATGTCTCAGTCAACAACAGAATACGGGTCTGAACAGACTGCTTCAGTACCTGCCACATCAGTGGGGACTGTCACCAGTGCTTAAAAGGTAAATTACCCTGAATGAAAACATTTAAAGCAGTTTTTACAAAACTTCAAACCACTTTCTGGATGCCAAAATTATTGGTATGTTATGGCTTGATGATATAAAAAAAATGCCAGATGATCTAATATAAAGCTACCTTGGATAAAGAAGGATTTGCCGATTTTCTTACCTGGCAACAGCATCGATTGAAAGTATTTTAAGAAAATATATTAAAACTATGTCAAGAAAATTTTAAGCTTGTTACAACTAAAAATAGTTTTAAGAAAGCAGCTGAACCTTGGAAAAGCCATCCTTTCCACTTAGCTGCGCAGCCTTCCCTGAAGCTTTGCCCACGACTTTAGTCTGGATGTTTTTCAGTGACAACTGTGTCATACAGAACTTTAAGGGTTTATGTATACAAAAAACATTTTAGAGGCATTTAGTACTGCATGTGTTTTATTGAAGAATGAGTGAATAAAACAGCCTTGCTAGTTAAGCTGCTCTGGAAATAGCAAGCAACTGGAATTTCTGGTGTCAAAGCAGAGTAAGATTATAAAATGTGCTTCAGAGGAACCTTTAAACTGATGTTATTTCAGATTTATAGTTTTTAACCAAGTTCCCAAGTATTGTGGGAGTTACTTTTTCTGTGTCTTCAGAGTACCACTGTTAAGTATGTTGGGAAAGGAACGCAAAACAAATTTCAAGCACTGTTTATGAAAGGGGATTTAAGATCAAATAATGCATTGTACAAAACACCAAAGCATTCACTGCTGGTCAAACACAGTAGGAGAACATTATCCACCACAACACTGACACATGCTAAATGATACATCCTAATAAATACACATGTAAGCAAATGACAAAAATTGCTTTAAAGTAGCTGTTACCAGATCTCTAATAAATTTCTATTACATTGACTTTCTAAGATACAAAAATAAGATTAATAATAATCTTTAGAATAATAAGTGTAGTACAACGGTTACACTTGCCCACTATATAAATACTTGCTCCATTGGTGAGAAAATGCAATTAAAGTTGTTGCCTGTCCTTACACAGCTCTATAAATGCGCAGCCGTTACATTAAAACATCACGGATAACTGCTTTTACTGTAGTTACTTTAAAGTGTCTGTTAACAAAACTCAGGAAATTGCCTAAGAATTGGCTTGGTTTATACATATTTTATCTATTATATTACAGGAGCATCTGAAGCAAGGATGATGCTCTGCTCCTCTTGGCACTGTACAAGTAAGTGTAAGTTGATGATCTCCAAAATGACCGATACAACAAAGCACACTGCGTAACTACTATAAATTCTTGCTTCTTACATAAACTATCTGATGTATACCGAGTATGAACAGTTTGCATAGGGGCACAGTAATAGTTCTTCACACTGGTGTTTTTACGCTATTAAAATACGGGCAGCTAATATTCAGACTGGCAGTCTGCTTTTTAAGAATCCACAAACTTAATTCATATGCTGTTAACTAGATATTGCTCATACATTTAAATGACAGCAGAAGAGAAAGGTTATCATTTAATTTACATTAACTGTAAAATATACTGATTTACAATACTTTAATTGTATTTAATACCCATTCCTTTTTTTCCTTTTAAGGGTAAATGCACAAAGCTACATAAAAAAATTCACTTTTGTTAAACAAATCCAACTTAAAGCAATAGAAAATAAATCTGAACCAACTTGTGCTATTTGCTTTGTCTGAAGTTGCAGAGATGAAAAATATTTTTGAATAATACTGATAGCCTAAAGAGATTATATTTCTTCTGATGCTTTAAGGGCTATTTTATATTTATGAGTTCTTACCAAAAGCATACATCTGAGAAAATTGTCACTTTTGAAAGCAAAAGGAATTAGCCAGTAATTCATAAAATTTGAGAGATGCTCAAGAGCTTCAAGTAACAGTGACCATGGAAAAAGCTCCACAGATAAACTGATATATATCAAGTCACATCACTTTTACAGCTGGTGTATTTTTTTTTCATTAAGAAACTATAAATAGATCAGAAAAGTGCATTGATTATTGGCAGCCATTGGAAGATTCTTGCCAACCTTTTTATATGCCATCAGAGTTGCATATTAAATTATGCATTCTTAAGGGTTTTTTTGCATGCCTTATCTATTTACAAGAAAATTCATTCCCGAGCAAGTAAGAAGCATGAGTACCATACCATACTGAAATGCACCTGTTAAATGCTTTAAGATAAAGTTCCATCAAGTTACTAGATGCAGATCACAACAGAACTTCACGAGAACAGAGACCTTAAAAAGGAACCAGTTAGCAATCTAATAAATGCTGCAGTGATTTATAAGCCTAAAGCTTGCCAACTGTACAACTGAGCTGCATTTAATTTACTTCAGGGCACCTAAGTATGGTTTTTTATAATAAATAATTCAATTCAGGTAAAATTTTCTCTAGCTAACAAACTCCACAACTTATTTTGGTTATTTTTTTAAATCTGGAGAACACCTTTTGAAAATTCTATTAGCTTGTACCTTCCCAGCAAGGTGGACCCTAGCATCCGTCTCAACGTTTTGCAGTTGCTTTGAGAGCAGACTGTGGGGTTTGTGCCAAACGAAACTGCTCCCATCATTGATCAGTGTAATTCTTCTAGCATATATCACAAAACTGCCAAACATTTATGTCTTTAAGCTACACATTCGTATAAAATTTTATTCATATTACTACTGTAAAGCTATTACTTCTGAGACTATAGCGCTATTCACATTCCTAGATGTCCATACATTTCTCATTGAATAGCAAACGCAACAGTTCTTGTAAGACCGTTTATTGAATTTAACAGTTCAGAAGGAAATGAGATGCAGTTTAGGTGCAGTTTGTATAAAAAAATCTCTCGATTCAGGTAAACTGCAATCAAAAATATCTACAAAATAGTAAGAGACTTACTGAGATCATAAGTTTTCTAACATGTAAAACTATACAGTGTTTGTGCATGCTCACTATTTGATTTCCTCCTATGTAAATGAGGAGCTTTTAAAAGGAGTTATTTTCTTAAAATCTCAAGGTAGTCTATGAAATGTAATCATCGCATCATGATTCGGATATACAAGACCAAAACTGGCACAGAGGGACATAACATCTTTTTCCAAAAATGTTGAGGCAGCTTTTGTTGAACAACATCTGTGTCGGTAAATGTTTTATAAACTCTGGTGGCTTTGGAGCATCAGAGAAAATTCTTTTTCTTCTGACATCTTGAAAAAAATTTCCCACAAGTACAGACAGGCAAGGTGGAAAATAGGTAGCAGCTTGTTTCCTACATACAGCTGAATGTTATGGTCAGCTGTCCAGCTTCTCAAAACAAAAATGAACTTGAAATCTCAAGGAGGCATATCCCCCCCAGGTTACAAGCATGTCTGAGACTTCTCAGAAGAGAGGGAAGCAAGCATGAGGGTAAAGCATAAGTCTAGTTTTCATGCATAGGTACTGTGCTCTGCCCTGCATCTGGGGCACTTTGTCAGACATCTGAGTTGGAGCTGAGGTTTGTCAACCTGGGGTCTGCATTTATCTCGTATCTGTAGTGATAGCCCTCCATGTGATCCCTACAGGCATCTCTGATGTTGTGCATCCACTTTTTGATTCCTTTTCGGTTTAAGTACAAAACTAGGAGGAATATGGCCCCAATGAGAGCCAAGACTATCCCCAGGAAGACGTACGAAGTCTGGAGCTGGGAAGGCAGGTCTATGGGCACAGAGCAGTTCAGGTCTAAGCTGTTGATCTTCAGCAGGGCTTTGCCCAACATCTTGTCAGGGTATGCACAAGTCAGAGCTTCTTTGCTCTCCACCTGGTCACTCTCCTTGAGCCAGGCCACCAGGTCCTCAATGGGGCAGTCGCAGACCCAGGTGTTGTGGTCCAGGTCGATGTGCCGGAGGGTCGGCAGGCTGCGGAACTGGGCCAGGGTGCTGTTCCACAGCACAGCCAGGGAGTTGTTGCTGAGGTTGAGGCTCTGCAGCTGGCCTAGCCCCTGAAAGGAGACGTTCTGCAGGCCCACCAGGGAGTTGTTGCTGAGGTCCAGCTGCCGCAGGGCGGGCAGGGCGGTGAACATGCCGGCGGGCAGCACCAGCAGTCCGTTGTCGGCCAGGTCCAGGCGGCTGAGGTTGCGCAGGGCCCCGGACTGCAGCAAGGCGGCCAGGCTGAAGAGGACGCCGTGGTC